CCTGGGTGAAAACACAAAGAGCTTTCGTGACATAATGAGAGGATATTGTGAAGAGAAAATACTATAATGCTACAGTTCGTATTTCTATTTTCCGAAGCACTCATTATCAGCACTCTGTACTAATTACAAGACTCTGGACTTGGGCATTCTCAGCAGCTTCAGTCTGGAAAATCCACCGGAACTTTTGCTGACAAATCAGATGCAAGTGCATAATGATGTCATTGGATATGCAGAAATCCAACGAATGTGCAGATTTCCTGGAATTGGCACATGTGACGAGTCAAAGGTCAAATCTAATCGTATGACGCGTCTGCAGCGACTATTCACATTTTCCTGGCTGTCGATGGCAAAGCCATTACGTGGTTTTGGGTGAAAAGGAAGCGTTGCACAATGCGCAATCAGATTTTCTGACTTCTGTGTATTCTACTCCTCGAAGCGGATTGGACTGAATGTGTAATAACGTTGAAATGAGATGGACTTGTAATGCTTTTCAACCTTACAGATCTTACCTCTTATTACATAAACGAGAATATTATTGTAAGATAAAAACGCATTCAGAATACACATTTTAAAATAATTGAAACCTAATAGAGTTTCAATGACTGTGAGTGAAGTCTAATAAGATATGGATGGAAACGAATGGAGTCTTGAGACTTCACTCAAAGCACATGATATTTGTCGAAACAGATTTTGAAACATCAGCATGAATATCAATGAAATCCTTTGTCAGCTCTAAAGGTAAACCTTCAACGTTAAGTAATTTTAATTGATTCCTCATTGTCTTTCTTGATTGCATTTCATGAAAAACATCGACTCGAACAATACCATTGACCTGTGAGTGAAGTTACGCAATGCCTAAGAGCGATCTGGGTGAAATTCTCTGAATCTGAAGGGTGCGGAAGAAGTGAAATGGGGAAGTTCGTTTCCTGCGAATTCCTGTCAAGTTCAATTGATTCCATTTTCAACAGATTCGCACCCACTCCGAGTGCGCGCCTTCTGATTTGTCCTCAACACGATGCGGAGGCACGGATAAATCAGGAGAAGAAGCGACAAAGTCCTCAAGCACACGATGAGAGGAGAAAAAAAAATTCTCATGAATTTCTTTTGTGCCCCCAAAACTTACTCAATTGATATCGCACCATTTTCGCGGGTTCTCTTCTCCCTTCGTCCTCCCTTCTTTTCTCCTATTTTTGGGGCCTTTTGTGTCCTCCAACCCACTTCTTCATTTGCTATGATTGATGTAGTCACCCTTGTCACGAGGGGAAGCTCGGCTGGCGCGCTGTGCGGAAGAAGTGCCTCGGTGTGTACGAGTGAATAACAATTCATAGTATTTGGACACCCTGGCGGTGGAAAAATATTACTCAAGACTTGTGCTCTATTGTAATTTAAATTCAACCCCATTTTCTCGGCACGACTGGCGAAATTGCACTTTTCATCCCCGCAGGGAAGGATTGGGGAATATGGCGCAGCGAAGACGCCCAAGGACAGGGAAAATCCCACCCGCGTGAAATCTTCACTCTTGTGCGAATGTGATAAATGTCTGTGGAAATATGAAAAGTTGAGAAATTATTTTTTCGCTCACTCTTTTGCAGGGGCGTCACGGGAAAAGTTGGGGTATAACATGACAAGAAATGACAACGGAGCAATAAATCTCCGGGCGCGCAAGTGATGGCGAGAAAAAAAAGGTGGGCAGACCGTGGCTGAAGCATGTGGATTTTTGCAGGAATTGCTGTAACAGTCGCGCTTTTTATGCCATTGTCCGGTGGTTTTTCATCACCGTCCGAGTCACACTTCACTATGCATAAAATTCATGCATCGACTGCTCGTGCGTTTTGCCCAGAGAAAACTGTCTGGCAACGCTTGATAAGACTTCCATGCAATAACAGTCAGCCAAAGTTGTCCTCGTGGGAAAAGTTGCCTAACAAAACGCTTGGCTTGGGATTATATTGCAAAGATGATGCTGTAAAATGGAATTTGTATATGTAAGCCAAAGATATTCTGTCACACTTCTGACCCAGGGTAGCATTGTGATATGAAAGCTCTGAGTTAACTTCATCGGCATTTCAATAAGAAACATCAGGAGAAATTTTTAACGTTATCATCACAACACAAATACTTTTGTACGCATGAAAAGAAGTGAGAAACTGCAATTATTAAACATACTGATTGGTTTCTGATGATCTCCAATAGTATTTTCAAATTTCTTGAAACTACTGAAGAATAAGAGACTACAATCATGTGCCATTCTCATTCTCGTAACAAACTGATGGACATCTTATCTAATAAGATGCGAACATCAAGCTGAATACTGTGAGACGGATGAGCGGAGATTAATTTAATTTGCACCACATGAACTCACGCCCTACAAACTTTCTGCAGCACCTGCGAAAAATCCAAGCAGGGCAAATTTGAAGATGAGAAGTTCTCAGAATTTCTCCCAAGTCGCGCTGGGTCGAGTGGGTGGCACTTTCGAAGAAGAGTACATATTTGCCCAGAAAGGGGGGGGAGAGAGAGAGAGAAGACGCAGGAGTGAAAAACAAACAGATAAATATTTCATAAATTGCCAAATCAATATTTTACAGTAAATTGCTGATAAATTTCACATATACGATGAAAGCAATTGGCTATAAGATTTGATGGAAAAAATTAAATGAGAAAACTTTCTTCAATCCACTCGAGCCAGAACGCACAAAATTCTCCCACAACACGATGTGAAACTATTTCATTGTTAATCATACTTCTCTCCGTCCGCACAATTGTCTTGGTGAATTTTCCACTAAATTAAATCACACAAGGAGGAGTCGATTAATCTTAAGGGCCCTCCAGTTGTCGCGCACTCAAAAATTCAAACCCATAATCCACGACAATTTATCCAATTGAGGGCGTAACAAGATACAGAATTGCTTAATTCGATTCAATTGGAGGACTCTTTTCTGCCTCACCACGTCATCGGCTTCCTTCCCGCTCTCTCTCTCTCTCCCTCTCTCGTCACGCATCGATTGAGGGAATTTTCCTTCATCACACATCCTTCAGAGACCAATAAAATTGTCCCCCGCCCCGGAGGGAAAGCCACAGAAGGGCCGGAGAGAGAGAGTACTTGATGAAATTTCATGCGAAAAAGGGGTGTTTGGAGGGAGATTTCTTGTGTGACTTTGAGGTAGTTTAATGTTCCAAATTATTTATTATGTGGCATTATAGCACGTATATTAAGTACGGGCGTGTAGCGCCCAAAATTGATTACTTTACGACTTTTGCCGGATGCTGTGGCGGGAGCGGATGGATGATCTGTTTATGGTTCTGTCCCAAGAGGCGCAAGGAGCCATCCTAGCGACTGTCACCGCTTTGGCTGATGGGGTGGAGGGAAACTTTTGGATTTTCCGCCCACGTTCCGTGGAGAATCTCCTGATTTTTACGAGTCGCCCCGGAAACGATTGAAAAGTGATAAATATGTAAATCATTGTGAAATTCTCACCCTTTTTTGACTGCTTGCGCGCTCAACCCCAAAACTCACGCCCGAGCTTTTTTCCCCCTGACCCACAAATCTGCGTTGATGATGCGTGATAGAGAAAATTTGCACAGCACGAATCCTCGCAACAAAGCACATTTAAATGCCATTCATTTGCATGACCTTTGCGCCCTTCTCCACGAGCCGTTGGTCAAATGAAAAAAGACAAAAAAAATCTCTGCTAATTTTTGCTCTTTCTCTCTCTCACTGATCTTCACCCCCGAAATTTCCACTGTGCGGTTGTTTTTCTCCTGGCACAGCAATTAGAATCCTAAGCGGAATCTGTACAGTGAAAAGTGTTGAAATTTTTAGCAGGATTTTCACCCTTTATCTGATGAATGGCAAACATTTTAGCATTTTCGCCGGGTGGTTTTTTTTTCCTCATCGTGGAAATTCACACTCCTGAACAGGTGTTCTGCCATGATGAAATTAATCTAATAAATATAGAATGAGAAGCACAGAATTCGGAACACAAGCTTTCGTACATGTGTGTTCAATACACAATAAATGATGAATGAAAGAGCAAAATTTAGTTACATTCGACAAATTATTAATCCTTTAAACGTGAGTTTCCGTTTCTGAACACTCAAAGTTTCCAATGATAATTATTTTAATCACTCAAAGGTCTATATTTTAATTAATATGATTGAAAGCGTTTGTTTAAAATTCTGATTTGATAAAAATCATATTTTTCCAAGCATGAGCTAAAAATTAATTTAAAAATCGCTTCAAAGGCTTTGAATACGACGACTTTTCCTTTCAATTCCAACAAATATATGTAATTTGAATATAAGATAATCCAATGCAACTGAAGAATATTGAGTTCGTCTATTGGGAAAAAAATTAGAAATTTAATTGAATATCAAAGAACGTCATCGAGAATAAAAGCGGAAATGAAGTTTCGTATCAAGTTTCATCTGAATAGAAATCCCCGGGAAATTAAAAAAAAATACTTAGAATCTTCTATCTCAATATTCTATACAAATATTCGCTTTACTGCGTTCTAATTTCTATGGATTTATTTTATTCATAGCAATCAATTCTTGTCCAGAACAAAATGATACCCAAAAGTGTTATCAGATGAAATGTCAGCTTAAAAATTTCAAATACGAAATTGTGAGTTCATTAACAGTTAGATTACAGTTGATTTTCAGGGCGACAGAATCAAAATTAACAGAATATCATTGATTTTAGGTGAACAGATTTCAGCCATATTATCTCCCCCTTGTTTCATCCTCAAAGCTCATCATAATCAAAAATGTGTATATTTGTAGGTATCACGATAATCGTATTGTCCGTGGAAGAATTGTTGGCACTTTGCGTGCATTCGAGGAAAACGGATTCACAGTAGATTTGCCGAGTAGATAAAATTGAAAATCTTCTTCGCCATTAAGCTGAACGCGAGGAAGACGGTGATATTTCTGTCGTAAATCCGAAATTGGCAAGTCTGCCTTTTACGAGCCAAGGACGCAGAGGACATGGCGGAGGGACTTACCGCGCTTCTGCGGGGGCATGATTGACGGCGTGATGCAGTCCGCGAAGGACGTCAGCGTGGCGACGAGGAGCAGCTTAATCCACACACGGCCTCCCATCGGGGGGACACTCGATTGCATGATGCTGTCACGGGCGGAAGTGTCTCAGGACGAACACCTGGCTCATGCTACAGCCACATGAGGCGCGATTCTGTCCTGGGCACACGAGTTACGTAATCGGGAATCAGATTGTCGCGCGGCACAGGAACACGAGGACACACTGGACTGTTGTCAACTTTGTCACGACACACAATGCCAAAGGGACGAGAGTGAGCGAGCGCTGCGAAAGCACTGTCAATCCGTCACACAAGCACTCGAATCGATGGCGCAGGCCAAGAATCCGTCCGTTCGCCGTGAGATGCAACTCGGAACTGAGCCTCGCGACGACTTTCCTCGCGCGATTATCCAATTCAATCAGCTGCGGCACGGCGAGTCGGGTGGGAAGCGAGGTCAAATGGCGCCAACGCTCACAGACGCACTTTCTCCGCCTGCACAGCCCTCAATTCGACCCGCAAAAGCTCTGCGCATCTGCCCCACTTTCGCTCCCCGCCAGTCGCCGATGAGCTTTCGAGACACTCTCTTAACTCTTAAGAGAACTCACTCGGGACTCGAAGGAGCGAGGCCAGGATGAAGCTTTTTTGGTCATGGTTTCGCGTCCTTACATTCAAGAATTCATGCATTCCTAATAAATTGAATTGAGCTGCTAATCAGCATTTCTGTGGTTATGCTGAAACACAGCTTCACAATCTTGCAATCACTGAAATGCAGGTGGAAATAATTTCAGCTTAAGTGCATGAATTGAATCTGTCTTCAGAAGCACCATAAAAATCCAGACATAAAAGAAATTGAATAAGAACTAATTTCTCTAAGTAAAATATTCTTACCCTTCCGCTGTGCTGAACACCGACTAAATATTCTTCCCTTGATTCTTCCGCAGATTTCCTGCTGAAACATCAATTTCGCCAATCCTCAAAGTGAAATTGCACAACAGGAAGAAGTAAAAGACTTTTGATTTCATTTTCTGTATGCTGCATAGTGTATAACAAAAAGATTTTATTATTTCAATAATAATAATTATATGTATATAATATCAATTACACCAAAATATGCACATTTTCATCATTAATATATTTTTTATGTATTTTTCTTCATCATCTCTATAATGTATAGTATTGATTAAATGTTATGTAATATATGCAATTTTTTTTCGTCATTTTTTCCTTATGTCCATTTCGTTAGTAATGCAAAGAAGTGCATTGCATTTTCGCCACCAAAGTCCGCTCGGAAAGAAACAACAACAAAAAAAAAACACCCCCAGTCTATGGTTAGTTCTTGGAGATGACATCATCCGAAGTTATACATTAACATGACTCTCTTGAACTTATCACTTGAATTCGCAGAAAAGAATATTTTAAATGGTTTTTGCAATCGCCATTTTGGTTGAGATTGCTGCTTGCGGAGCGCGCGAAGAAGCCAGCAGACTTGGCTGGGCACTTCATCACGCGCCGCCCCTCAATCTCTATCACGACTTTCCGCTCTGCGCGAGCGAACTTTATTGTGTTGATTTCGAGAAATCTCCCGATTAAATGAGCCATCGTCAATTGCAATACCCACAAAATGAACATAATTTCATTAGTATCTTTTATACTATTTGCTCAGATTTTTTATTGATTATTTTTCTCATTTTTGTTTTTAATTTTACTTTACTATATTTTATGTATCTCTCTCGCTCACACTTTTCACTCTATGCTTTCCACAATCTCGTGATTTCTTTTTAAATTTCTCAAATGAAATTTTGACACTTCTCATTTTTCATCACACCAAGATTTTTTTTTTTCATCAAAAACTACCCCCCTTTTCGGGTTGCTGCATTTTGCTATTATAGGGAGACACTGAAATGGGGAGCAAAAGGAAGAGCTCTTCTTTCATTTTTCACATGCGCTCACGCGGTCCAGAAGTTTTGGGGTTTCTCAAGAGGAATCTCTGGACTCTCTCTCTCTCTCAATCTCTAAACAAACAAAGAAAAAAACAAACTATCCACTCTCTATAGACATATTTACAAAAAAAATGAAAAATTCACTAAACAATAAAAAACATCTTCTTGTCCCACACTTTATCCATGCGAAAGTCTGTTTCTCCCGCTTCTCCTCGCGCAAAAACACCCCGCAGAATTCCATCGGATTAATCTTTCCCTGGTAAATGCTAAAGATTCATTTGTGACCGAAGCCACGCCCATTCGGATGCCCCACCCACTTGAAGTTACTCAAAAATCAAATCCAGAAAGGTAATCAAATGATGCTCTGAGAGATTCTTAGGCAAATTTCCCATATTGACTGTGAATTCTGCGGATATTTTCTCATATCAAATATCGCAAGGAAAAACAAATGGCAGACTTTCCTCTATTTAAGCTAATAAACACAACCATATTCTTTTTTTTCTCTCTCTCTCTCTAAACTGTAAATTTTCATATGAAAAATGACCAACAGAATGAAAAGAAAAACTGTCCTTAGTGTCGAAAAAATCTCTGAAGTGACGATTTGAACGGATAACAAGGAAATAGTAGATTGTATATATCGTGCAAATGTTACTAAGATAATCTGCATAATTGTAGGCTCTTTTGCAAATTCTTCCCGCATTTTTTTCTTTTTCTTAAGTGTGGTTGTTGGCAAGCTACAGGAAATGTCTTTCATATTCCACATTCTCTGATACCTTCTGTTCTTCTCTTCACCTTCTTTTTTTTTGGCAACCTATGTACATACATTTTATACTAATCCTACGTTTCATGTGTCGTGTTTCTTTTTTCTGTCTATTTCTCCTCCATTGAGAATCTCTTCTCATGCTTCATTGAAATTGATTTAGCAATGTGGGAAAGTACATTACATAATTTCTCTGTGTGAATTTCTCATCTTGAAACTATATATTTTTTTTTATCACATATTTGGTAGATTTTCTCCATCGTTCTATTTTTTTTCCATCGTTTCTTCATATGCCATTCTTTGTATCGTCATTTAAAATTAGTCAAACTCACTAGAATTGTATTTAAAAAAAAATCAAAGAAAAATTGGTTGGCTTTTCAATTGCAGTGCGATGATAGAAACAAATTGATACATTGTAAATTACACGAGATAAATAATAAAAAAAAATTGAGGCTATTGATAAATGAAGATTGTGAGAATTTAGCATTAATTTATTGCACAATTGCAGAGTTTTGTTTGGAATTCAGTGATTTTATCATCGCACTCTCTCTTATCCATTTAACGCACATTTTCTTGCATTCACCCTTTTGCTGTTGTAAATTGTGTTCATGAAAAGTTTCTATGTACAAAAAGGACAGTGAAGTGGAGAAAAAATGGCAAAATCATCACCCATGGTCTTCTCAATTCAATTTTACTACTTCGTGTGTTGATCCAACACTGCACAATCTCTTGTGGTTTCTCACTTTTAACCTACTAAGAATACAATTAAATCATGCTTCCTTCCGCATTCTTCTCACTTTTCTTCTTTTTCATATTTTCTAGCCGCCAATGGCGCAAATTTGCCAGAAATCACCCCATAAAGTCTCTGTTAAACTCATGTGCTGTATTCCACTGGCGACCACTGTTGGATAATTGTGTTAGAGAATAGTTTTGTTAAGTGAATTAAGATCGCTTTGTGATGCTTTTCTCAATGCTTCTTGGCTGAGTATTTGGTCAATCAATAGCCACCAAATTCCATAGAGAAAGAAAAACATCACAATTGCACACAATATTAGTTGCTTCTTCTTGTAGTATTTACACAATATCATTTTTTTTTTATTCTTCCTATTATTGAGTGCATGAATTGTTTTTTTTCTTCTTCTCCTAAGTTCTACAGAATGCAAAAATTTGCCTAAAATCGTTCTTCTCTGTATTCAAAGTGGAAAAATCATAAGATATTGTTCACATTCAAATCTCTTTCTCTAATCCTTCATTTTATCCCCAAAAATTCTTTCAATAAATACACACATTTTCATCAAGTTTTCCTTCACATTTTCTTATCTTCAGAAGATTTTCATTAAAAAGGGTTTGGAATAATTGTGATTACACATTTTGAGAGAATTTCTTTTTTTTCTTTCTGACAATAAATATTTACATTCCTTTTTTTCTTCTTCTCTTTTCACAGCAAATCAATTTTTTTTTTTTTAATTTTTAAACTAACGCACAAAATTTCATTGTCATCTTTTCCTCATTGACATTTTCTTTTGCTTAAATTTTCTTTTGAGATTTTGGAAGGTGACATAAATTATAGTTTCAACAAGAAATTAAAGAAGAAATTCAAGGACAAAAAAAAACGATGAAAAATCAACAACTTTTCTTCATGCAAAAAGGAAGCACTAAAGTGACTGATTATTCTAAGAAGAAAACAATCATACGTATACAAATCCCTTGAAATTGTCTTTTTTCCTTCCTCTTCTTCTTCTTCGTCTGACAAAAGAAAGTGAGAAAAATAGGGGGAAAACCATTAAATCAGTCTTAATATTGTCCAAAGAGTGAAAGAAATTAAGAAAAACGGCTGAAATTCATTGGGAAAAATTAACAACTCTTCCCAAAATTCTAGTTATTTTTCCCTTATCTTAACTATTTCCTCATTTAAGTTTATAATCTTGTGAAAAGACATCAATAGTGTTTTCTTGCCTTGCTCTCTCATAATGATTACTTTAATACAAAAATATTTTTACATATGTATATTTTCTGTCTTAACCTTTAAATACATTTATAATAAATTATGATTCTTTTTTTTTGTCTTCTATACAAATTATTTCATCAGATTATTCTCTTCTTATACTGCCTTCTTTTCAAACTGTTTTCCAACTTGTTTTTTTTTATCTCAATATGTAATCAACGCTATATATTTGGCAATTTTCAGAAACCACGCACGCACGCGCGCATTAAATTCCTTCTTCACTGACTCTTGAAAATTTTGTATTTTGCTTTTTCTCATACTCAAAAATTTTGTCGAATTTTTGCCCATTTCATCGAAAATCAATTGAACTCTTTTCTCTTCTCATGTGTCATTTTGTGAGCGCGGAACTCAAAGAATGCTCCTCTTGGACGACTTCACACGTTAAATTGTATCTTTCTAAAAGACGCTTCTCGAATAGACGTTGATTGATTGATTGTTTTTTTTTTATAATGCTTCAACATTCAACTATTTGGCCGAATTGAATTTCCCTTGTCAAAAATTTGTCAATAAATCGTCTTGGATGGTAAGAAATATTATTTGCAAGTCAACTGGATGGCTGTCTTTTGTGGTGAAACAACATAAACTATCCTCTTTCTCTCTCTCTCACTCTCAATGCTTAATGCCTTAAAAATGTATACAATGGAAACACAAGTCAACTTATTTTAGGACACAAATTTGCTACAAAAAAAGTAAAACAAACAGCTTTTTTCCCCTTCTCTTTTTCTCCATCTAAAATTTGATTCATGGACGAATAATGCAATTTTTACGGTGCGCACAGAATGCAACAAGACTCAAACTGACTCTCGTCGCATCTAGTAAATATGACACATTGTCAAATAGGGAGAGAACCATATGGCAGGATTAATTGAATAACTTTCCTCTTGTTTTTCATCGATTTTTCCTTCTTCTTCTTCTTCTTTCAAAAAATGCATTCACCTCTACGCTAAACCACAAATATTGCTCCACGAGACTTTTTCTTCCTTTTCATTTGGGAAAAAAACAAAGAAATCAACAACTTAAAAAGAATAAAAACTCGACAAGAAATTGCAATGATTTAACATAAGGGGAGGAGAAAAAAAAACGTTTCAACATTTCTCATGATTGGCAAAAAAATTAAGACATCCCAAGAAAAAAAATGTGCATCAAATTGATAGATTTCACGAAGCATTCGTATTCTCTCTTTCGTTATTTCCTACTCATCTCTAATTGTCTCCTAACATTCCCCTCTCTCTCTCTCTCTCTCTCTTTTATGCAAATCTGTAACACAACTGTCTATAGTTCTGATCTCATTATTTTATGTACAAATTACAAATTATTTAATACAAATATTCATTATTTAATAATTAAAACATAAATAATCAGAATGGCCAGAGTCGTCATTGTTTATCATCATAATTCCTTATGCTGTGTGTGTGTCTCTCTCGTCACTCATCTCCTCTCTCTCTCTCTCTCTCTCGCTGTCTCTCAACTTGCAACTTCTCCATCTTCATTTTACAAGCACTTATCGACATATTGTAGTTAAAATAAAACAGGAAAACAAACCATAATCTTAATGGAGAGTCGAATGGATGATCAGAGTGTGTGTGTCTCTCTCTCCTTCTCTTCATGTCGGAATGCAAATTGATGGTGTATTTTTCTCCAATCCTGTGACTTTTTTCGCTTCCAATGCGCGGGAGATTTTCCTCGCGTGATCCTCGCACGCTGTCCACCTTTTTACACTTCCTTTCCCCCATTCACTTGTATACACCAACAGTTGCAATAACGATCAATAATCGTCAGTAGCCCGAATGCGTGAGAATGCCATTGCCATTGGTGAGGGTAAGATCAAATTCATTGACGAGCTTCTTGATATGCGACAGTTTCTGATGCAGATATTGAAACCTAGAAGAATACCAATAAATTCTAGTCAGTAAATCTTTCTTGCATCAAATTTCAACACGAATGTCTTCTCAAATGAACCCAATAAAGTTAATTAAAAAAAAATGTCTCATGAATTTACCACGACAATATTATTACTAGACATTAATTAAAAGCTTCCAAATACCCTTTAATCAACCCTTGAACATCACTCACCGCCTCTTAGACTCTTGATGATTCCTGTTTCGCATAGTTTCTTTGTACTCGTTGAGAATTCGCTTCTGAATTTCCTGTGGAAGATTATGGAAAGTTTTCATTAGACAGACGCACATAATTTGATTTTGCTATGCTCTCAATTATACCTTAACCCGAAACTTCAGATCATCGCGCTCCTCCCGCCGAAGTCTCTTCTCCTCAAACCTGAGAGCCTCCTCCAATTCAGCAAACTTCTTCGACACCTGATCAATATCCGCATGCAGCTTTCTGTACTCCGCGTAATCCTTGTCGAATATCGACTTGTATTCCCGCCTCTGCTCAATGGATTCTATCCTCCTGAATTGACTGTGACGCAAATACAGAGTTAACACAGTGGCTCAACACGTGAAAAGTGGGCGAAACTCACCTGCTGAAATCATGTGTGTTGCCGTTGTGCTTGCCCGTGTCACTCCTCAGCTCATTGGCATCCTCCTCGTATCGATGATGATGCTGTGCCTCCGTGTCCGCCGATGATGAGCTTGTGGAGAGGAAACGCTGAGCCGCATCTGATCTCAGCACAGAATAGCTCAAGCTCAATCCGCTGTCCTCAGATTCTTGTGTGGTTGGTGTTGAATTTGAACTGTGTGCGCGTGATTGAAGGAAAAAAAACAGAGGTGAATGCAAAGAAATCGCGCGAAAGAAAAGTAGTCAACATTCAATGATAATCACTTCCGGAGGCTTTTCAACCATTAACACAATTGATATGGAGTGTGAAAAGAGACAGGAAAACATCGATAGAGTCGAGCAAAAGTTTTGCCATCGACACATTTTTTTTTCCTCTCCTTTTTCACATATAGGAGAAAAATATATCTTTAAGAATTCTTTCCATTTTCCACTCCTGATACAACATTTTGACCATAAAATGACATAAGACGAGGCAAAAAACAACATCGAACAGCCAAATAGAAGCAAAAAAAAATCACAATTTCAAAGAAGAAGAAGAAACAGACAGAAAGAATGTCTTGACGCGTATTGTGAATTATAGCTTTTAATAGTATTGTGCCTTTCTCTTTTTTAAATTCACACACACACACACACGCGCAGAATAACAATACATATTTCCAAAACGCACACAAATACACAACTTCATATCATTTGGTTTTTTTCCTTGTCTCATTCCAATGATTTTTCATCCATATTTTTCCACCCATTTGCAGAGGAGGAAGATTGCAAGAAACACATAGACTTTAGAGACAGACATTCATCAATTGATAAGCAAAAATAATATCACAATCATATTGAGAGAAATCTCGTGAGGAAGTTAGGAATTTCCCAAAGAGAGACTTAATTAGAATCCCAAATTGATTTATATTCAAAGTCAAATGCTTAATCAATCGATTGAAGAAATGTGACATGAGAAATTGTGTATTGCTGTATGAGTTGGGAAATTTTTGAATTTATCTATGCCCAAAAGTGATAAGATAGGGTCGTTTAACCCAACCTGTTTTTCCTCTCACACACACAGATATTGATAAAAGTCTTAAAATTATCAGTTCAGTGCTCAGCATCACTGATTACAGATTGGCACGAATTGCAATTTGCGAGTTGAAAAGTCCACTAATATATGCAAGTGCTAATCACTCAATCTCTCTTACCCATAGTAACTACTGGACGACCTCATATCATCATGATGCTCCCTGGAACGAGGATTCATGTTGGCACAATCTCGCGAATCCGCCACTCCTCGTCTGCAGGCAGAAACGGACAAAGTCAGGTGGATGATCAGAAATGCGCGCGCACGCACAAGCGGAATATTACCTGGCATCGTGATTGGGATTTCCAACGCGACTGATGCGGGTCTTTTTGCTCACGGGCCCGTCCAGATACTTCTCACTGTTCATCGCGGGCCGCTTCACAGCCGGCGGAGGACTGCCGTTGTGCGTGCTGGTCGGACTTTGGCCAGACGTTGACGAGCCGCCGTCGGAACTCAGAGGTGGTGTTAGATTTTGAGGTTTTCGCCTGGTTTTGAAAGGGAAAAGAGAAGAAAATTGTAATACAATCATCAGAAATATTGCATTTGTGAGATTTTGTGATTCAACACAATCAGATCACATCAATTACTTAAATCTAAGGATTAAAAATGCTTCTCTGGATGATTGAAAGTCACATAAAACCGTAAAATAACGATTTAGATAATAAAAATTGTACATTTTAGAAGTTTTGTGTCTAATAAAACACTTCTAAATCGTGTTCTTGAGTTCATTGTCGAGTTAATGTCCTTCACAATTATTCCACAAACAATTATCAAAAGATTCTCAATGATATTTTGGATTAGAATTAGCAATTTCGAGTGAAATCTTAATAAAATATTGTCAAGAAATATCAAAAACCAACTAAAGAAAAAATTTTAGTTGATTTTCAAATAGAGAAATAGAAGAAAATCTTTTTTTTTTTACTATGAGTCTGAATGCATAACATCAAAAATTGAGAATTTTCAGCACTTATTGATGCTTCTAAGCATCTTGTAATGTCAAAGACATCTGGACACTTTCGAAAACCCAGAAAATATCCCCTTGTCTATAGTCACAGTTCCTCATGACACATATTAATCACATACCTCTTAAGATTTTGCCGATCCTGTTCCGTGTAGAATGGCCAATCCTCGTGCACATCATTCCATATGTGTCGATTCAGATGATAAGTATTATCTCTTAGGTAAGATATCGTCGTCAAAATATTCTTAATGTTGTTCTTATCACGATCTTTGACACCCTCTGCAATAGAGATTATGCCAAAAAAACATTGTTAGCAGAGACCATTCAAGTGTGTGCATTGTATTGTTGTCTCTTTAATCCATAAAATATTTGACCATGTTCACTCACTACACATTAGTTTCTCTCATAAATATGGTTCAAGGAGAAAAAGAAGAAACCACAGTCGATGATTCAACAATGTGTGCTCATACATTTTAGCGTGTGATTAGAGTGGTTATAGAAAAAAGCACCTCAAAAATAAGCCACACGAGGAGAGCTTTTTCTTCTATTTTTATAGAGCTAAAGAAAAGAAATACGCACAAAGAAAAGTGAGTGTATGTAATTATGTCTGTAGTTAGTAAATAACATTAAAATGAGGTTTGCTCGTTTCCACATTATAATTTTTCAGCAGAATAATTAAACTGGAAAAACATTTATTAGAGAAGTAGACGAAGAAGAAGAAGGAAAGGAAGGCATTTCGGCAGATATATTCCTCTCATGATACAGATACAATAGATCATGTGATTCTCTGCCTTATCTTTCACATATCACAAGAAACAAATCTCTCACTTTCCTGAGGCATGCAAATATGCTAATGTTTGCCTATCATCTGAAATCTAATGATAGAAAGATAGGCGCCACACGCGCAGAATCATGAGAGAAAGACGCCAAATGATTCCCCAAAATAGTGAATGAAATGAAGAAGTGTCTAAACCAATTTATATACTGGCATTGTCTCTCTATTGAATTATTGATGAGAAAGTATACGAAAAATCGCACACACATATTGAGAACTGAAATAGCGGCGCACTAATAAATAATTAATACACTCACCAGTGACTATTCTTGCATACAATTCAGGTTTTTTGTACGGCCTTAACGCTAATAAGTGAATCAGCCTTTCTCTGAAACGGAATAATCAAACAAAATACACAAGATGAGAAATTTTTCTTCTTCCATATTTTTCCTCACACACATCTTGCCATATATAGAGGTGCTATATTTTGCCCAGGTAAAAAATGCCTAAAAGCAGTCATTAAATTGAGATTGAAGTGAGAGAGAAAATCCCGCACAATTCGTTGCTTTACACTTTTCAATGAATCTCACAATATTTCTGCCCAAATTGCTGAGCTTTTGTTTCATTCTGTACACACACACACAAATACATGGAAAAAAGAAGAAAAACAAACACGTTCACGAAAAATACTAAAAACTTCCATTTGACTTAAGGTTAAGTCCAATGACGACAATAAAATACTGAAAATCTTCCAAGTTTTTCTTCGTCCCTTGTCATCAAAAATAAACTCGCAACATAGGACAAATATAGATCGTAATTTTGCATATCATATATCAAATAAGATATGAATTTCACATTTACTATTTCTTCCAACACAACTGTATGTTCAAGCGGAAAAACACCGCCAATATCACGCTTTCCGCAATAAATCCATTCCCAAATATAATACACCATTTCTTGCGCGCCGCCTACACTTCTTCTCCCCCATTCGATGGTTTCTGCATCAAAAGGTTAGCCACTCGAAATGCCACTAATACAGTGGTAAAAAAAAACCGCCGCCATTCGCATTTCATTCAATTCATTTTCCCCTCTCGCTCACATTAAAAAGCGCACGATAAGCGTATAAAGACATTATCAATTTTGCAGTGAAATGATAATGTTCGAAGTAGCTTCTTCCTTAGGTATGTCCTAATTACTCAAATCCCACTGAAATTCATATTTCCCGTCTCCATTCAACTCTACATTCATATCTTATTTGATAAGATATCAAATAGAGGATCATTGATCGTTGAAAACTGATCATCATTGAAAAATGTACTTAAACTTGAAATTATACGTTTCAAATCTCCTCAGAGAGCAGATCTCTTGTATCTACAGAACTATTGTAAAGTTAAATTGAATCTTTGCTTAAGAAAGCCTCCTTAAAATAATGGCAAGTATGCATAAGAATTCACAAAAGAGATTTTCACACAAGTCACACTCACTTTATCGATCTCTTCATGATGTCGGGATTCCCTCCTCGTGAAGATGAACTCTGATTATTCCGATTGGCAACTCTATTAGGCACTCTACTTGCTCCACTTCCAAACACTTGCGTTCCACCATTCACTCCACCGCCGGCGACACCATGACTTCGACCGCCCGTCGTCGTTCCATTTGTCGTCTTGAGCGACGGCGACGACGCTGACGTCGTGCCGTAATTATTGGCAATATTATTACTATTATTTGTTAAAACACTTGATGATAAACTAGTTGGATTTGATGCAGGAGCTGCTGAATTGAGGTGAAATGAATCACGCTTGCTGTATGGTGTAATTGAAGACGAAGAACTTGAAGAATTGCTAGGAATGTTATTCAGACGATTACTCGATGGTTTCAGTTTCACCCGGCGTCCAATGTCTGTTTGATTGGGCTTAATTTCTCGAGTACTGCAAAAGAGAGAGAAGACGCGCAAGTGTGATTTAATGAACTCCACGCGCATTTTTTTTCGTGTATATATCTTCGATGATGCGCATACCATTTGTTTTTCTGATTTTCCTCAGCCACAGCCATTCTATGCTTTGTCGTCTCGTACACATCATCATTGGCATGTATTCGCATCTTGTTGGACAATGTGCCCAAGACATCGAGGTCCCCCTGATTCTGCTGGATGCACTCGAAGGAGCCCGCGGGACCCTCGATTTCAGACAGAGAGAAGCTAAACTTTTGTCCGCCGCTGTTCGACACAGACGGGAACGAGATGAGCTGAAAGAAGAGAGAAAAGAACAGTCGTTAAAGGAGCGATCATTTCACAAGGAATATTGCATGGTAGTAAATTTCAATGGGAGGGGCTTCAGAGGGGGCGTGGCTTCGTTTAAATCAACATTCAGTCATTCAACCATGGAAATCAGCTAAACACTCCGCAAATCCCTCGGAAATACATATGACCAAGACTCTGCTGGCGATAAAGAACAAAATATGCTTGAATATCAAGCAAATGAGACGATGCAGATTCCGAAGAGTGCAAAAAATCGCTGTAAATTACCTTTATGAACTAAAAATGCATGAGAAATCAGAAAAAAAGCTTCCATTTCAACTGCAACCTATCCTTCAAGACATTGTAAGTGTTTTTGCACTGTCAATGTGACTCTTTACGGAAGTAAAATATATTTTTGCGCCGAAAAATACTTTGCAAAAACACCAAAGAGATGAGCGACAACCACAAAAAGTTGATATAGTCATGCAGACACTGTTTGCCAATTCACCTGTTTTATTTCACGTGTGTTGAAAAATATCATTTATTATTTCATTCATCTGCCAAAAATAATTAATGCGAGCCACACGACAAACGAAAAAATGTGTCAATATTTACTAGAATACAAAATTTCACACTGTGAGGACAAGTTTTCCCCGAAAAAAAGGAACGGAAAGCAGAGAAGCCACATTACATTCGCCATATCATAAAAAGATATCCACACTCACGGATTTTCCCATCAAGAGAGAAAACCCACAGAAAGTGATAAACTATAGATAGTGGCATTTTTTATCTCTCTCTCTGTCTCTCTGTCTAACAAATTCTACACTTGACAATTCAAGTGTCGAGAGCTTGAGGACACACGCGAAATAGAGAGAAAGAAAAAAAAAAGTATCACACACTCAGAGTGCCAACAATCTAATCAAATGGCGAACACAGCACAGTTTAAATGAAATTAAAATTAATTTTCTTTTCTTCCAACCATTTGACATCAATATGTAATTGTTACTGATTACAGGAAGCCACATGGTTTAGTTTTTCGCAATTTTCTTCCTCTCTCTCTCTTTCTTCTTTCCATCAACCTCGCCTAAATATGCGATTTATTGCCTGGCTTATTGTACGATGCAATTTTCTCCTTGCATTTTCGCCACACACAATCGTAGCGATAAAAATTGCATTCATTGAACGAGAAAAGTGATGACAAGAGGTTCAAGACTAGGTTAGACAGATTTATTATTATATTTGACCAAAGTAAAACCCGCCGATTAACAGTTTTCCAACGGAACTGCTGAATTGTAAGAAGAGAAGAAAAATTTCCAATCCCCACACACACACACACACACATACTCTCTATTATGTCTGCGTTGTGTGAAGAAATCGCGCATTACTTCCCCTCGCGGCCATGCTTTTTTTACTCTATGTGATCTCTTCAAACTATTTAATTCCTATTTGGACAAGGTAAGAAAATCCATTCATTAACCACTCATTTTTTTTGCCCACTTTTGGCTATCTTGCGCGCACAGAGAGGAAGAAAACACATTGTAAAACTCTGCCAAACACACAAAGCCAACATAATCGCTACCACAATGATACTGACTGAAGGTAGAAAGTGAAATATGCAACTGTATTTCAGGCCTTTGGGCACCACAGATGATATTTTCTTTAGTTTTGTACAATGTACAAACCATTAATTCGTCAACTTGCAATATTATTCTCTTCTGTACAACATTCACTTTAGTCAGCGCATGCAAATTGAAGATCAAGATTAGATTTTACATTTAATAATTCCCCATGTAATCTTTCAATCGCACAAAATTTTTATTAACACCACAGAAAGTCAATGATATTTTTTTGTGCATTGCATTGAAGCTAACATATCAAAACTTCAATATTACACTTTTTTTCCACTCTACTCTCAATATTCACACAAACACAGAAAATAAAACCACGAAGCAATATTTGCGAGAGCAGAGCTTGCGAATGGTTCAATTTAAATGTGTGCACAAAAACACTCAATCAAATAGGCAATAATGGTGGAGAGAGAACAATTGCAATCGAAAATGAATTTCTGATTAAACACATCATTTCACAATAAACGTACTTCTCAACTCCTTCTCTTCTTGCTGACTTTATGCACACACTTCACGTAGAAAAATCTAATAAATCTTCTTTCTCTCGCTCAACTACAATTCAAACTAAAAATACTTTTGTGCATTTTCAAGTAACACCAAAATGTCTAAATTTGCATATAAGCAATTATGCAGTCACACATGATATTATATGATGAGTCATGAAGCTTTAACCAATTCTCAACACAACTCTTCCCTTGTGATGTCATTGATTGGATGATAATTGGGATTTATAGAACATAAAATGTCATACCTAAACCACTCAATTGCAATCTCACACCATTCACAGGCACAGACATACACAGAATTCATGCTCATCTGTTGACCTGTCACTTGCGGATCAAGACCACAAAGCCGCTGACAAGATAAGCAGCGAATTCTATCAGAATTTAACGCTTTGGAGAAATACAGACAGATTTACAGCTTCTTCAGTACCACAATCTTCATGCGCATTTGTCATTATTCATTTTATAATTGTACTAAAAAGGATTGTGACAACATGTATCAATTCCAGACAATTTTCATCACAATTCCAATTTAACAGTCATTTGGTGGGCGCGCACGAAGTGCAAAAGGAAAACCCAGCAATAAAATGAATTTGCAATTGAACAAGACAGCAAACCATCAATTCTTCATGTGCTCAGCATTACAAACATCACCCATATATCGCTTCACTCTCCGGCCGTGTGCAATACGTTAAGAGGTATTTTACTTCTGAGTCGTTTTACTTCTTTATAAATATTTTATTATTTGGTCTCATCCAACACTAAAGCCATCACACCTCGCGCCAAGGTTCTCAAGAATTTCACTTGGAGAGGAATTAACCCTCAACTTGGTCTACACCACTAATCTATTATACATAAATAATCTCATGTACAGTGCACGTTACAACACACAAATCCTCATACATTATTTATTCTCCCGTCTCAGCCAGGCAATAAAACTCTCTTGTGTGTCTCTCCGCGAGACTCATCTCAACTCCCAATCATTATTCGATTACAGAAGAACAGAAAAAAATATAGAGAATTGGTATCAACAGTAAACATGCTAATTCAGTGGGGAAGATAAATTTGGAAGTCATGGAAATCATCCAACACACGTTTAATAACACACAATCGTGCCATTGTGTTTACCAGGGAAATTGTACATTCATTCAGACGCAACTTCATCAAGGAGATAATTTCGTTCAAGATTCACTCTCAAAGTGAACTTGAGCAGAACTCAAATATCATTGAGAGATAAAATAAAATACTGAGAAATGAGGTGATGTTGCCGGAGAAGAAACTGTGCTATAACAGCAAAAATAGGTTAGTTAATTAGGACTCTAATCGATTCAGAGGACACATTGTTATCAGGAAAAGCGTGAACGAGAAAATAAATACACCATCACAAAGGAAAATAGTACGCAACAAATGGTGACGGATTTATTTTCGGAAAAATAACATTTACTCAATCAGAGGAAGTCAATCAAATTAAGGAATGAAATTAGTAAGTTTGCAAACTGTGCTATTCCCATGATCTCCACTGTACATTAAACCAATGACGTAAACAACAATGATTTTTTTTCCTCCACTCGCGCTCTATTTTTCCATTACTCTGTGCACACCTCAAGGAATTTATGTGCCATTGAATAAAATTGTGTAAATGACATGAAAAGAAGTGAAGCATCGTCAAATCTTATCAAATACAGCACAGAAAAAATTGAAATGGACGAAAAAAAAAATCACTTATTCTTCTATAGAAATTAATTCGCTCGTGCTGACGACAAAAATCCAGAAATTCAAATGTAAAGTGCATTAGTGAGAATTTGGAATTCACTCCGTCTCCCTTTCACCTTTCCCAGTACATTTTCCCAGAAGCTGCAGCAGTAAGAGTAGAGACACACAAGACGAATTCTCACTATTGATTTGCCATATTACGTATGTACATATAGAATGAAGCGCTCCTTTGTGCATCCACACAAATACCAGCGCAGATTGGCTTGTTGTCCTCAAATCGTCCGAACAGCATTTCCCTCTTAACTCACTTTGCCAAATGACAGATGACATTTCATAAAAAATTTGCATTCAGAGCGAAAGAAAGGATATGCGAAGTGAAATGATGAAAAATATGGCATTGTCAGGACAGAACAATGTGATGCTGGAACACCTGCCGCACAGCGCAAAATCCAAACACACATTTCATCCCTCAATCTGCAACACCCCCGCGCGCAAACACGCACACAGACTTTCCCCACCCACACAAAAGTGTCACACACAACAGCAAAGTGCTGAGAAACTGTTGCATTCTGCGCAAAAACCAGAATCCATCTTGACGCTTCTCTCAATTGCACTGATCGCCGAAGGACACTCAATCTCTAAACAACAAAATACTGTATATAAATAAAATCAATCAAACTCACCCCTTCATTTCCGAGAAATTGAATAGTTGCTTGAGAACAAATTTTGCTCTGAAAAGATAAAGAGAAAAAAGTGTTAATAATGTTTTGCAAAGAGTAAAATCATGCCTATTGTATCTCTACATCAATTTTCAATGTATTCTGTAAGTCATAACGTCTCACATTTATATAAAAATGTACAACGAGTGCACAATATCAATTGTCTTATCACTAGAGTGAATGGTATAAGAAGATGACGCAAGCAAATTCCACCAACACAAGCTCATGTGTATTTTTTCCTAAAGTAGTCGTGACTAGATTTTCCTTATCACCACTTACCGTCTTAATATTATGTACATTTGCTTGTATATAAATACAATTTACTGGAAAATGGAGAGAATCTCTCTTTGGATATTAATGAAAATCAATTCTTATCACAAGCCTCGCCTATTAGGAAGCTCCGCCCACTTTAAGGATGAAATTCCTGTACAAAAATCAGTCTCATTGCAGAAAGATTTTGACTTATTTCTATAACAACTTCCCATGCACTTGAAACTTGCAATAAACACTGAAAAGCAAATTACTCATATTCCACAAAGGCAAAAATCGTGAACACAGAAAATGTCAATAAACTTTGATATTCCATTTTATCAGGTCATATATATATATATATATATATACGTATAAATATGATATTTTGCCAACACACTACAAAAATAAATATTCGTAATGTGAAACGCTCTATGTATGATTGATTGAATCATGATAATAAACCCGTGCGAGTTACTGAGCAAAAATATCCACACGACGCGAGTGAACACATTAGCAGTGATAAGGCGATATCTACACATTATATAGTTTATATAGCCTCCTTTCTCACCAACACCAAAACCAGAAATTCATTACTATCAATGCATCTCTCTGCATCACATTTCCATCCATTCGCGAGAAACACGTGCACATGAGGCGACAGATGTTTTATTGAAATGGGGGAAAAAAATGGATGCTGACTGAAAAAACATGCCTCCAAAGTTGAAACTGGTACAGCAAACACACGTTTAGAGCTTCACAGAAATATCAGGTAGACAGTCGCCTTCTACACACCGTTTCTCTCTCTCTCTCTCTCTCTATTGTCGTTGGGCAGAAGAAAATGGCAAAGCGCATCGCAGAGGAGAAAGGTAAAGATTGTAATATAATTTTATGTCGTCTAGTTGTCTACACTGAAATTCCTATGGCTTCTTATGTGCATTGACTTATGTAATGTTTAGAGCCATTTACAAAGCAATCTCTGTGTGCACGTTTTATCACATTTTCTGCATCTTCTCTTTCATGGCAGAGATTTTTTTCTTCTTCTTCAGCACACCAAAATACTCTATAGAGGAAATAATAATCACAAGAAGAGCAGGTGATGAGTTCTTCTCCCTCTCTTCTTCTTCACCCCCCCCGTAAAATCTCAGGTAAAAGCATCTTCTCGCCAAACTCTTCGCGAGTTTGCACACAAACACTGAGAAACTAAATTGCCGAAAACTGTGGGTTGAGCCTCAATTTGACGATTCTTGTGTCTGGAGATGTGCCAAGACGAGATAAAAATGAGTCAATGAAGAGAAATGTTAGACAACACCTAGCAAAAGCACGCTAGGAATTTCTCTCAGTAATCAGCTGCTTTTGGCACGACTCATCATCAATTTAGTTACGGAGGAAGACATTAGGAATAATCAGTTCAAGTATACCAAATTATGCATGAAAAAATATCCGTTTATTATACATTAACGAGAACTCACAACCAAATTCCTTGAACTCCATTTCACTATTGAAGAAAGTAAACCAATTTATTGGTGAGAATATACCGACAATTTGCCCTCAATTCTCATTCTTACACATGCCACCTTCTCAAGGATTCATTTCAAATACGACAAAGCAGGGAAATCTACGGTTAATAATCTCATAAAATTATGCAGAGTTGTGAATCTATTGAAATTCAGAGCAAACTTTCTTATCGTCCTAAGAATTTTTCTACTTTTCTTCCATTCTATGTCATTTCCTTTATGTAAATTCAATGTAATTACACATCCTGACCCCACATTTCCCTACATAACATGCCTTGTTACATTATTTCTTCTACGCAGTTTCTACTATTTCTCCAAATTGACTCTCTCTAAACTATCGGTGAAGTAGCGAGTAAAAAAGTCACCAAACCATCCAAAAGAAAAAAAAATGAGACGAGGAGACACGCAAAGGCGGTGAAACTTGGTGAGAATAGTGAAAACAATTAGGATATACTTCAAGCACAGCCATTATTGCACGTTTTATATTTATTTGTACAATTATATTGACAACATTGTGCTGAAAAAAATGTGGAAAATGGTTCAATATTTTATATCAATAAACTTTATTATCAATACAAATATTGTTTACCACGCAATGCCAAAAGAAAATGCGCTGAACTCTCGTCAATTCATGACATCTGCAGATATTCAATGCAATCGTCACATCGGAAGAGTGCTTGATATCATGTTTAATTTGTTATCAATTATGTGTTCACATCAATTATTTCACAATACGGGACAAAATGCCGAAAAACGTGATTTTCTCCCAATGGAAATTTTATTATTCACTCACAACACTCAGGGTGAGGTGCAAAAAATGTGGGTTACAAAAATTCACTGAACACCAATTCTCAGCTTAATCATGCATACCGAGAAAGTCATTTCGTATTTTGGATGTTTCTTAAAATTTTAATAATCACACTCAAAACATACTCTGTCGCCAGTTAGCCTTCATTTAGTGTGAATCAGAGAAAAATGCCAATGAGAAAATGAAGGAAAATAAGTCATCAAAAACACGACAAAAGCTTGTACTTGTGTGTAATAATAATTAGTCAAGTGTCAGAGTAAAATATAAGTTGCATTGTAATATTTAAAAAAAAAATTAAAATAAAATTGTCCGATTGAGCAAAGAGAAAACGCTTCGGATTGAAAAAGGAAAGAAAATATTATTAGTGAAACATCAAGAAAACGCAGTGGTGAATTAATTATTCATGTTATTCAATTAAATTTTTGCTTCACTGTAGAAAAATGTGAAAGATTTTTCCATGATAAACTTTCATCATTTCACAATTCTTATGCGAGAGATTATTTCAACTCTCTTTCCACTTTAAAAAAGACAAAAACAACAGCAAATTTCATCAAGATCAAAAGTAATGTGCAGAAGAAAAAAAAGAGAGAAATAAATGCCCATTGACATGTGATGAGATATAAAAATTGTCACACATAAAAATCCATCGAGACGAATTCACTGAGAGGAAAAAGTCAATAATGTAAAGGAATAATAATATAGAAAAAATACATTGACTGTATAAATTCATTTGAAGGTTCACATCAAGTTCACATCTCAGATTCGGATACGTAATAAATTATTAATTTGTATTCAATGAAAATATTCATTTTGAACGCGACACAAATCACGAATCGCGCCACAGAAACTCACACACAAGGATTCGCATTGCAAATGTGTATTCGAGTCATGTTGTGTAGAAGTATTAGTCAAATGAGTATTTTAACTCCATATAGTCATCAATTTAGTGGCAATTGCAAGTGAAAGGAATTTCCACGATGATTTTTCACCCCTAATTTGGTCCAATTTTCTCTCACATTTCTCCTGCCACCCCAAAGATAAGAAGGTCTCTCTATTGTGAAATATCAAATAGATGATAAAGAGAAGCACAGAATAATTCTCAATGCAAATTAAATCTGTGACCTGCGCACTTCTGACGTCATTCACGATCAACACGAGCGTCAATCTAGAGACCAATAAAATGGGAAAATGCGACGACATTCAGAGGATATCTCAGTCATTTCACTCTCTCACTCGCCGAGCCTCCGAAATATCCATACGCGCGCACTCACAAAATCCACTCTTCGCCTCCCCCCCCAAAGATTGCTCATGCGGGCAAAACAATCAATTATAAGGTGAACTCTTCCTATATGTCAATGTCTCTTCGCAATTTCTGACGCGTACAACACCACCAAAAGAATATATACGCAAGGCAAATACAAATGACAGCCAATTATAGATCAGCGCACATAAGATAATGGAACACAGAGATATTTTGCCATTGATAAAAATAGCTCTCCTCCGCGATAGAAGAGAAATGACTCCTCCTCCTCTCTCTCTGGTGTCTTCATCATTTTCCTCTTTGTACACCACACTTTGGTATGTTCGTGGGGTTTTCTATTTAAAACACGAACACCTCACACTGCCAATTCGATTCCACCTCCCACGCACTCTTGATTATCTCTCACCCGCTCAGCCCAGCCACACTGGAAAGCCCACTCATTCAGCATCAAATTCACCCCCTGAAGTGCCGCCACGCTCATCACATCTTTTCGGCCAATCATTCGCAACGACGAAAATTCAAATGAATCGTTTTCTCATTCAAGAAATCAAAAAAAAGACATGAAGAAACTCACAGGTTTTGGCAATTTTGATACCATTCACATCATCTCTCTCTCACTCTGCTGTGCAATATTTTTTTACCTATATAGGTCACTGAATTATTCACTCTCAAAAGGCAACCTTGCCTCATTTATATACAACAATATCATATACAGATCACACCAAATACTGTTCTTTTCCTATTATAAACAGCTTCAAAAAAAAACATTCAATCTTTTTAATAAAAGTACAGAAATGAAACTTAAATTGTGCTTATATAACACTTACATAAAAATGAGTTTGAATAGTAAACGAAAAAAAACCCTCAAACTCTTCAATTAGGCTGTATTTTAATCCATGCCCACTTTTGGTGATTAGGGGAAAGTCGAGAGACTTTGGAAGCTTTGATTGAAAAAAAATTTTTATATAAATATCACAAATATCAGACCTATTTTATATTGAATATTGTCTGAATATCTTTGATAAACACCTCAGTTTAAACCTTTATTTTTTCTCACTCTCCTCTTGATGACTTTTCCAAACTGGATTCGCCCATATAAAACTCATATTTCGTCATTATACGTGATACACGATGCGACTTCCGCTGAAATTTGGTTTTCAACCAGATCACAAGCTGA